ACATTATTTATTTCTTAAAATCAGTGTATAGAAAAAGAGTTTGGGAAAACACTTGGGTGAGTTTAAAATAAAGTCTGCTATAAATATACATCCTCTACTGCTTGTTTGAAAATGATAAGTATGCGTGTATGACTACGTAAACACCTAGATCTCTCCCCGCGTTTATAATCACGACCAAAGAAGAAAAAATAAAATCCGACGTACTTTTTTTTCGTGTGGGATTTCCCTTCATTCACATCAAGTATACTCCCTGATTCATATTATTTATAACCCAAAACTCATTTTGTTAATCATAACTTAACAATGTAAGAGCAGCAAAAAAACACTATTATTTGATTTTTAATAAAATAATAACACCCTTACAATAAATATCATTAAATAATTTTTTTTTTAATAACCAAACAACACCAACACAGGTTTTTCTGTTTCACCGCGATCTTACACGACTTTATCTTGCTCACCGAGGATTTTGCACTTGGCACATTATCTCAGAGCACATCATCACCATCACTTGTAATTGTTTATCATTTTTATCCTCCCTTCCGGATGACGCGTGTTCCCAGATCGATTGGCATTTTCTAACGTGTGTCAAGACTATTTACGTGAAAAAAAGGTATCCGGACAAATTTTATTCTTGTGAAAAAAAAAAAAAAAAAAAAATCCACCCAATTTTTTTTCCATAACGTGTCTGCTATAAATAAAAAAAAAAAAAAAGAAGCGTATACCTAAACCAAGGCCAGCGCAACAATATAACATATGAATTTCGTCGCGCGCGTGCCTAGACACAATTAACCGTGTACAATAAAAGTCGTATAGATACATCAGAAGGGTACACGCCGACACATTAATTCATTACAGAAGAAAAAAAAAAAAAAAAAAGAAAGAGTTTCAATCGTTTTTTATTAGATAATCCAATGATGAATGACTCGCGTCCCTCTTGTCGCTCATAATCTAATGAAATCGGCGCGCCACTTAATCCGAGCATATAGTATAGTACACGCGCGCACTTTACCAATTGACGCAGGGGGAATTTTCGTCCACCGCCCTCTTATCTTATAATATACTATATACCTATGCCCCATTTTCTCCAGCGATATACAACTTGCAATGGATTTTTTTTTTTTTACTTTCAGGGAAAGCCGGTAATTTTCGATCGACGCCGGATAGTAACAAGTACCAGTCTAATTTACAATCGCCACAGTGTAAGGCTCTCAACAATTGTGGGGTCGACTTGCAGGCTGTTATTATTTAATCTTCCCTCTTTTTTTTTTGTTCTTTCTTTCTTTTGCCAGAAAGTATATAATTATAGCCTCGGATACCTCTCATTACTTTTGATACGTGTGCAGAGAAAGAGCGACAATAATCTCACGAAACTACAATTGTTTTACTTCGAGTGGTGGAATTTGTAAGAATAAAAGAGAATGGTTCACTGTATTATTTTGTGTCTCTCGCGACTGTATATAGGTGGTAAGCGGGTAATACAATCCGATCGTCATCGTCCGGGAATGTGTCGCGAATTCAATATCTCTCTCTTTCTCTCTTCGTCTCAGATACACTGATAAGTGAAAGTTTCGTATACGTAATCATCGCCAGTACTGTGCGCCTCACACACACACACATGTGTACATATATATATACATACAAATGTAGGTGTACATTGGACGTTTGAGGATACTTTTTCAAACAATTTCTGTCGCTATTTATGTAACACGGTATTTGGCAATGGACTTTTTGGAAGAGAAAAAAGTGCCCCCCTTTTTTTTAGAAAAACTTTTGTAGAGCATTAGGAAATTTAATGAAAAAAAAAAAAAAAAAAAAAAAAAAAAAAAAAAAAAAAAAAAAAAAAAAAAAAAA